TTGCCGTCACTCCTATATATATATATTACGTTATACATTTTGTACTATATTCTTTCGCTTATTGAAACTTTTCCTTAACCATGATACAGTTTGACCAGATTAAGCGCGATATTTTATCAATATCATGATGGTTATTCGATTCTAAATATGTTTATCCAATACCAAAACTAGTGAATCATATTTTTGAAAGTTACTGCGCGTTAATCGAAGTTATTTTGAACCGCAAAAAACTCATTTCTATTCGTAGAAAAGGTTCTATTTCTTTTAAAATTTGGTGAAAATGATAATTGTTGCATGCAAACGCTAAAAGAATAAATGCAATACCGATCAAAAATAATATGTTTTACTGTCAAAAGAAAATTAACTTATAACTTTAAATATTATAAATCTGCAGTCTAACGAGTTATATAAATTTGGACCCTTGATTGTAATATTTCAAATTCAAAATTTTGACCCTTATATGCAATTATTTTCACTTTGAACACTTGTTTGTAATTATTTTCACTTTGAACCCTTGTTTGTAATTATTTTCACTTTGGACCCTGGTTGAAATTATTTTCATTTTTCGGGCCTTATATATAATTTTTTATAATTTAAGTTCTTGCTAAGATTTTTACTACAAATAACTATCACCATCTCTCATATTTAGGGTTATGACGCAGTTTTAGGGTAAAATAGGGCCAGATATAAAGGTTCAAATTATAGTTAGGATTAGGTTTTTGGGGGTTTGAACATTCTTGCTTAGTATTCTTGACGTGAATTGGCTATTAGGTTTTTGAGTTATAGCATCCTGGTGATAATCACCACCAGTTATAGTTAGTAATATTCTTTTGCTAATATAAAAAATATGTATAATATTATGTAATAAATTTAACTAATAAAAAAACTTGATTTTATTAAACAAATTTTTCAAGACAAAATAGTTGAAATAATTACTGCTTTAAAAAAAATTTTTTGTGATAAAAAAATTACAAAATATTTAATTGTTTATTTCTCAGCGGAGGACACCTTTACAACGGCAAATGATAAATAAAACTCGTTCGCTTCCATGCTGTTGATTAGTTGAATATGTGATCACGTTAACAATATTGGGAGAAACGGTGACAAATTACGATAATTTTGCTCAACGGGAAAATGATTTGATTATATCTGATATGCAAATCATTTGTCCCGTTAAGCAAAATTATCGTAATTTGTCAACTTTTTGCCCAATGTTAGGTTATGATCATGATTCACAAGTCGTCATTAACTAAATTTTAATTCGAGTAACATAACACAAAAAGTAGCAAAAAGAAATAAATTCATGATCATAAGCGTCTGCCGGATAATCACATAATAAGTTTGGACGCATAATGTTACGCTTTACCTATATATTATTAGGAAATCAGAATCTGATAAAAATCTGAAGCAACATTAAGGGTTTATAAAGAATAACAGTGAGTTTTGTATAATCTTGAGCATTGTGTAATGTAAGGGTTTCCTATGATATGATTGGTTACATTGAAGCAGATCATTATTCTCGCCATGGACGATTTCTATCTGAACAAGCAGTTCCATGGTCAACAATACATCAGTAACTGACGACACAGGGTGTCATATGAGCAGATTTTCGAGTATCGTATAAGTTTCTTTCTTTTTTCCCTTGGGTGTGGCGAGGGAATAGCCAGATATAATTGAGCAGGCAAGGAAAGTAGTGTTACTCAAATACCATTTCGTTATGAACAAGTCTAGTGATTTACCGCTATGTGGAAAGTACAGTACTGCAGTAACTCACTAATGTACCACCCTGTGACTTCATTCACAAGCAGTTTTCTGGACTAACAACGCATTAAGCAAGAGTCATCGGACAATCAACCTTACAATAAGAGTCCTCGGACATATCAACCTTATGATAATACGATTTTTTTTTTAATACAATCTAAATTTATTAAACAATTTAAAAGTTACTAGTTGTAGAATGAAATTTATTTTTTCCCCTTTCTTTATTGACATTGTAGTTATAAGAGATTAAATAAAATGTTCTAGCTTTTTTTTTTGTGTGTGTGTGTGCTTTTAAAAAAATACAATTGAATTTAAACTTATTAATAATTGAACAGAAAATAGATTACATGAAAAATAAAAATAAAGTTTATACTACAAATTACGAGAAGGGTTAATTTTTGCCATAAATTCGTTCTACATCAATAAATTCTTCAAATTCTTTATAATCACTAAGTTTATCATCACAGACTACATTACTATTACCTTCAATCATATTGAAAGCCTGATTAGGTACGGCACTCTGCATAGGAGTTGGTGGAATTCCATTAAGGAACATGTCTACCGAGATTATTTGCTTCGAAGAGACGGCAGTTTTAAGTGCTCGTTTAGAGGGACGAACTTTCTTCGGTTTGTAAGTTCTGAAGGTGGGCAATAAATTATTTTTGCGATATGAGTTCACCTTCTTTGTATAACTTTTGAGAAAAGCTGCTAGGTCCGACGTTTTCTTTTTCCATTCCTTCGATGCTATCTTGGATACTTCACGACTGTTGCCAGGGTGTACATTAAATTTGTGTAAAACGTAGTTTATTAGTATACGTAACATAATAAACTCGCAAAGGTTTTTATGTGTTCCATCTTCGTTTTCGAATGATAGCTCTTCTGGTTCGGGAGCTTGAATTTCGTAATCAAGAATTTTGACCATTTGAAAACCAGTAAAAAAAAAAAGTAACGGTGAAGGGCAAAAATCATTATCGGAGATCTGTTATATATTTATAAGGTTTATATATGTGAAGGCAAAAAATGTATAAGATAATTATTTTTATTAGATTATTCATGTGACATAGCATTAAATTTGTGGTTCATGAAATTTCCCTTTTTTAGTTTTAGCCATTAACATTCTAAGCAAGCGGCATGCTTTCTATAAAGTTTGAAACAGTGGTTCTCCCATGTCAAGTGGCGTGTAATTTTTCCTAAGGAAAGCCGAAGAGATTAAATATAAATTACGTAATTATTGTACTTATTAAATTATGACAGAAAATTTTAAGATTATATGATCGAAAAGAATAAAAAGTAAAATCGTAATATAAGATTTGAGTGAAATTAAATTTTATGTACATAGGTAAGTTTAGTAGGTAAATTTTGTAGGTAAGTTTATTATATTTATAAAATTTTCTGTTCATTCATTTAAGATTTTTAATATATTACAAGGAATTTTATTAATACAATGAAATATAATACGAAAAGAATATAATATGAGCATTTTTGCTAATTATGGACCTACGAAGCACTGAAACTTACTGAAACTTCAGTCGGTTATTGTGTAGTTGCAT